ATGAAGCTCCATATTGTGTATGTTTTTTTAAATTGCTAAACAGCTATCTTACTCTAACTAGGTACCATTATTCCCCCCCCCCCCACCACACACACACTTTCTGGTTATTGCAATGACTGAATAGTGTGAACAAATGACTTATCTTCTCCATTATCTTTAGTTCTTGACACACATATTTTCCATTTTAAAAATATTTCAGTGACAAACATCACACTTCATCCTAAAAAAAAAACAAAATTATGTTTCCCCTTACCCTCATTTCTTGTTCTCTCTGTTTGAAGGAGGACAGCATGGTGGCTCTGGCTACCTGTATAATGACATACTGGGACACACCCATCATTGCTGTGGGTAAGATAAGCGTGTAGACAGGCAGGAGACGGGTGGTTTGGGGCATGCCCCAGCCCATCACTCGACTAAGTCCCTCTTTGATGAAATCAATAGGTCCTGGTTTATCACTAGAGATATCAGCCTATAAAAGTTCAGTGTTATACATGTACATACATCAATATTTGATCAATTTTTTTTCAGAATAGTAAATTTTTCTGAAAATACCATGCACATGCAACATATTCTTGCATAGTCAATCTGAGAATGACATAAAATGGAGGCCTACCTGAATAGTTTCAATGAAACTAGTTGCTAGGAAGGGAGTTGCCAAAATGTAGGATAATCTGTAAAATTAAAATATATGTATACTGTTTTTAGGACACACTCATCAAGACGGCAAGAAGATTCAAAGGACTTAGCTGGGTGAATCATTTTTGTCATTAATTTTCAAAACTGTCTATTAGTGTATTTCAAGCAAAACTAATATACTTCACACAAACCTTTGAGTCCTTGTTGAACTATTTCAAATTTATGATCAAAATAATATATATTGAATGTAGTAAAATATATTCAAAGGAAACAATTCTAGGCCCACATAAAAGGAATATAAAAATCAAACATTTTTACCCTTTCAGCAACAAATGTTCCAGATGTTTCCGAGGGGAACTGTGTCTTGTGACCTCCCTAAGCGATTGATAATGAATGAAAACATGATAAAAACTACAGAAATATCAAACTGGAATCTCATAGCAACTTTTAATAATTATTCTCTGTAAATCAAGCTTCAGTATACATGTATTATTATATGCATCATCTATTGATATATACATACTATATCAACATTTCAAAAAGAAATTTTATAGATACAGTTGAGCCTTGTTAATCTGGGTGCTTGTGTTCTCTGTATATTGTTCATATTTATAAGGAGGCAACCAGACTACTGACACATATTTAGTTTCTATATAATAAGTTTCATATAAATTTCACCTGGCAGGTGAAACATCCATATTAACGAGGCTTCACTTAGTTCATTTGGACAGACTTACTTTGGTAAGGGTGTGAGCTCACTTATAACAGTCTCATTGACCATCAGAATGCCTTTGGACATTAATACACTGACAATTCCCTTCCACAAAGAAGACATCCCCTACAAGAATTTAAAAATTTAAATCAATAAATAATTGGCATCCTTGATGAGAAAAATATTTTTTTGCGTTAAGGATAAATATATCATTAGGACTAAATTGAGATCATACATATAGAATTTTCATTTTTAAAAAATATAATACAATTTTTCTGCAAATACAGTTTTGTAAACTAACTTTTCTGCAATGACTCGGCAGCAATTATTTCCCTTACCTGATGCCTCTGTAGCTGTACTAAGACTGTGACGAGAGTAAAAGGAGTATTGTGGTACCAAACTCCATTATGATGCACCTGTTAGACAAATTAAATAGAAAGGTAACATTTATTAAATTTAATACTTACATGTACTTGTACCAGACACAAAGGGAAATATCTCATCCTTGCTACTGTATATAACATTATGCAAAATGGAGAGTATATAATATTAGGTTAGATGAGTAAAATTCAATTCAAACAAAATGTGAACATGTTTATATCTTTTTTCATGATTTTCAAATAAAATAAGAAAATTTTGCTCTTGCATAAATTTTTTATCATTATATAATCTGTTAACTATAACTGATTTTTTTTAAAGCATGTTTCTCATATCTCAGATCAGATGGAATGAAATATCAGAAGTACCTTTACCTATATAGATAGCAAAGCACAGACATATAAAAGAAATTACCTGACATTGTCTCCTTAAAACTATGAAGGGATGTGATAGAATGTGTTCTGCAAAAATACTACTGCAAAGAAATTACAAAACATTTACATTTTTTAAAATTTGCATAAAATTCATTTTTGCTCACCTCGACGAAGTCGAGATGAGCTTATGCTATACTCCTGGCGTCGGTGTCGGCATCCCGGTTAAAGTTTTAGGAGCAGGTCCATTCCCAAGTAACTATAAGCCCTAATCAGACCAAACTTGCATGGATGATGCATCTAGGAATGGATACTACCAGACTTGCTTCAGATGCTGGATCTGACCTACATTTTCCAGATGAGTGAACATGTTAAAGTTTTTGGTGCAGGTCCCTTCCCAAGTAACTATATGCCCTACCCGGACCAAACTTGTATGGATGATGCATTTAGGGATGGACACTGCCAGAATTGCTTCGGATGCTGGATCTGACCTACTTTTTCCAGATGAGTGACCAGGTGAAAGTTTTTGGAGCAGGTCCAGTTGCAAATAACTACATAAGCCCTACCCCGACCAAACTTACATGGATGATGCATCTGGGGATGGACACTACCTGACTTGCTTTTAATGCTGGATCTGACCTACATTTTGGAGCAGGTCCATTCCCAAGTAACTATAAGCCCTACCCAGACCAAACTTGCAAGGATGATGCATCTAGGGATGGACACTACCAGACTTGCTTTGGATGCTGGATCTGACCTGGTTTTCGGAACAGGTCAATCCCTAAGTGAACTTTAAGATCTATTTAAACAGAACTTGCTTGAATATTGTTGTCAGGATAAATACTAACTGTTAAGAAAATATGATGTGAGATTTGCATTACTTATATTGATGACATTCGTCAAGGTGAGCTTCATAATCTTTGATTACCTATGTTTTATCTCTGTGAAAGAATATCTGAATTTGCTTATACTAGTTTAAAATAAAATGTGTGATTTGTAACACATTATGAATATTTGGTCATTCTAAAGAGGGATGGGAGGGGAAGGGGAGAGAGCATTATTAACTTAATCTTACCTTGTCACCCCAATTACATAACCAGTTGCAGCTTGTAACTGATCTGAAACATGATAATATTCAGAATTTTTAAATGTTCTTAGTTCTACAACATTTGAAATTAATAGTTCAAATCAGACAGTAGAAAAAATCATCCATACCCATTGCACATTTGTTAAATCCAGTTCACAAGTAAAAATTGAATGAATTGAATGATTAAAAAATCTAGTAGGCCCACATTGTCATAGGGTACATGTAATTTTCAACAGCAATGAATACTGAAACATTTGCTTTAAAAACCTTTCACGTTAAATGATTTTGAATATCTTTATGAATCACTTTATGGTAATTTCAATGTAATCGAAGGATAAAGTGTCTTGAAAGTGTGCATGTACAGCTGATCAGTGACTTGAATTGCATAATGTATCCGTTTACATTAACAATTTTACGTCATGCAGCATGAGCCCAGAAAACAAGGTAATATACACACTACTCATTATTACTGACAAATTTATCAACATTTGCCAATGACCCACCTGAAGTTGAACTATTTTTGCTTTCTTTCATGTTCATATTTTCCAAGGACCCAAAGTAGTCGGGGTTGTCTTGAATCCATTGTAAATCCGACGGACTTGGATCTACAGATCTTACTTCATTTAACCGTCTAGGAAAAGTTCTGTCCCCCATTGTCAAAGTGGTAAGTTGATCAAAACCAATTCAGAATCAGTCTTGAACGAAGATTTGCGGCATTTCTTGCACTGTCCTCCAACTGTCATTTTCTCCGGAAGTAAAACATATCGAGAAAACCGACAACGTTAATCAAGAAAATCCCGGATATTTAAAGAAAGAGTTTGAGAACGTTACGCTTAAAAAATCATCAAAATCTGTCAGGGTACCTAGTTATAACTAAATAAACAAACCTGGTAGATACACTGTTATTTAAAATTTAAAATATTTTTTTAAAGGAAGGGAGATTGCATCACCCTGGCACTCCCAGCATGGGGATTGTAATGATACTGTTTTCTCAGTTATATGGTGCAGTGTACAAAACCGCTTCAGTTAAGCACCTCTCCCACACCAAACTTACCCGAGGAAAAAGACCGGTTGAAAAGTAAACCTCGACCCTTAGAGATGGGTTTAAACACAGGCACTTGATTCGGTAATTATTTTTAACCCATATATAGTACTAGTATAATAATAATAAAATTATTCTATGGGTTAAAAAATTATTAACGAAACAAGTGCATGTGCACCATAATTAGACATAATAATCATTTCTGAATTTCAGAAAAAACTAACCAACGATTTATATTTCAAACTATTATCCTATTTTCCATTTGAATCGTTTATGATATAATTGTGACCGGGTATCCGGTAAAGAGCAATGAGTCCTTTTAAATTTAGAATGTTGAAAGGATTTATTCATTTAATGGTACATGAAAACCCTGTGAATAAAATAGTCAAATTAATAACAAAATAAAATGAAATACTTATACCGTAAACTTTGAACAGCCAAGAATCATTTTACTTTACAATTCACTTGCTGCTGTTTTATAATTATCAATCTTTGCAGGGGCGGATCCAGGAATTGAAGTTGGGGGGGGGCGCATAAAGTAGGCCGGGGGTCTGGGGACCGCCTTGAGGCCCCCATTGGGTCCAGGGCGAAGCTCTGGTGGAAGCTCCTGGATTCTAGAGATTTCGTAGGGTCAAAATGAGGTCTACCGAGTAGACATTTTTACATTTTCAAGACTACAGTGTATAAACTATGATTTACGCTAACTTTGACAATTTTAGGGGGTGCGCCCCCCCCCCCTTAAATCCGCCACTGCTTTGATAAAATAGATAATGAATGATGTACAATTTAATCTCAAGAAAGTAAATGAAGCGAAACAAAAGTGCAAATAAAACAAACATAAAAGAAAATAGTATGTCCACAACATGAAACATGCAGAACAAACAATGACATCAGATACATGAAAACAAAACAAACAAATCTTACCTCGCATGAGTTGTAAAGGTTTAACTTTTACCATATATTATAGCGTACAGTCATTATGGCAATATAGGGCAGTATCCTGCATATAAAACGTAGGGTCTATTTACGATAGATTTTAAAATTTGTTCAGAAACACAAAAATTGACTTTCTCATATATTACTCTTGAAATCTCTAATAAATTATAAATACTTGAAACCTATTAAAATTATCTGAGTACAATTTATCAATTAACTCAGCGTGCACAAAATACAATTCAGCTGCAATAATGTAGCCCTCCCCCTTTATTTTTGGAGAGGGCTACAACTCCTTAGGATCTCCGTAATGGTGCAGCTTCGGGAGCGATTCACACCCGCACGGATTTCGGCTCAAACTGTCGGAAAACGGCTATTTTATTAACATGTCTAACACGGACTTACAAAATGTAGTTATCCAAAAGACATAAAATTAAATTGATCCAAAAATATATACAGAACAATCCATATATCGGTTATTTTTCGTGTATGTCAACATCACAACTTTTTATCGGCATGTTTACTGACCTTGACAAATTTTATTTTGGGACAGCCAATGAGATTAAGGATCTATATAGAGAGGATTTCTTTGGAATTACCATTTTTAAGCCTGCTTTATTGAGTTATTCTAAATTTCAAACGCAAGTCTCAGTGTACGTCACGCGTGAACTGTCAGAAAACATCAGATTAAAAAAAAAAAAAAAAAAAAATCGGAGAGGGCTACATTATTGCTACGGAAGCGTATTAGTGCCATGCAATATTTTTTTAAGTTGGTAATTCCAACTTTATTCTTTGCTTTTCCAACTTTAAAGTTGGTAATTCCAACTTTAATCTTGGCTTTTCCAACTTAATTTGATATCTCCCCCTTTTTATTTTAGTTTTTCCCTTTTATTTTAAACCATTATCAACTTTATTAATGTAAATGTAATACACTGGAATAGACTGGTTATCAATAAATTTTTGCAACCTTAATGAGGGGGGGGGGGGTTGCAGAAGAGAGGCTCTTAAAGAAGGGCGGACGGGTCCATAGGGAGTTATGATATGAAACTTGAATTATGCTTAATAAAGTTAATTTATACGAGTACATTGAAATAAATTGGTTAGCACTTTTTATCTGTGTCAGTTTATTTGTTCAGTGTCAAATTTTTATTAATTAAAATAAATGTACGTACAATGTAATGGCTACTGTAGGATCCTATTTTACGTTAATATTAATTTCTTAAGTTATATTAAATAATAAAATGCTTTTTTTGGTTGATAGTATGGGAATTAATGTCGCAGCTGTTGCAGGAAAAAAAAAATAGTTACATAACTCTCGTATCAAGACTTTCAGTCAACTCCGTACATGACAGGATTTCAACCTAATACATGTATATTTAAGAGATCGGACTTTTATTACGCATTAAAAAAAGAGACCGTATCAATTTTGTATATGGAACATAATATTTTCAGTTTGGGGCACTATCAACAACCAACTACCAATATTATATGTCTGCAACTTCTGTATTATTGGTGGGGTGGGGTGGGGGGTGGGGGGTCGGCAACCGCCAAAATTTATCTTTCCATTTTAATTACATGTATAAAACGTAACACAATTTAAGTTACAAAGTATCTCAGACAATATAATACACTCGTAAAGCCGAAAAAAGTTGGAAAAGCCAAGATTAAAGTTGGAATTTCCAACTTTAAAGTTGGAATTACCAACTTTAAAGTTGGAAATGCCTAGATAAAAGTTGGAATTTCCAACTTTAAAGTTGGAAAAGCCAAGATTACAGTTGGAATTACCAACTTTAAAGTTGGAAAAGCCAAGATTAAAGTTGGAATTTCCAACTTTACAGTTGGAATTACCAACTTTAACGTTGGAAAAGCCAAGATTAAACTTGGAATTTCCAACTTTACAGTTGGAATTACCAACTTTTAAAAAAAAATATTGCGTGGCACTAATACGCTTCCGTATATTGCAGCTAAATACAATTAGTACGCTAGCTCTCAAACTCCTAAGTAATGAAGTGTAACAATATTGTATATTCTTTAATTTCCTCGCTTTGGCTCTTTGTGACATCTTTTAATTAGGTTGAACTGTGCCTCTACCTTCATTTTTGCAACCTAGAAGTATTGAAGTAAAGACATCGAAATGATTTTTTGTGAATTTAAAACAAACTTCCATATACATGTACATTTAAAAACATAAATATACTCACATAGACAATTTATGATGCTTATAAGGAATGCCAAGCCAGTAATACAACCAATAATGATAAAAATTAATGTCTTGAAAAGAAAACGCACCAATATTACATTTTTATGTAGGCCTACTTTTAAAATGTTTTAATTTTAAACTGCAGACAGAATCTCTGACGTACAAAACAAAAATTAAATCTTGCAATTGAAGATTTAAAAAAAAAGAAAGATTATTAGGTTCATATTCCGTGTGAAAAAAAGGAGAAGAAAAAAATAACATTTATGCAGCTTTGAATTTCATCAGAGGTTTTTCTTATATACTGCTTTTCAATTTTGCAATACGTCATCTCTTTAGTTTTAATCAGGTGTAATTTAACATGCCACACGGTGCTATAAGGTTATCGAAATGATACCGGGGCATAACGAATACCAGACGTGCTTGGTAACGGAACGTACCAAAATCCTCCCTGCTCCAAAACCAAAGGGTTCTGCAGCATTTCAATAATTTTCTATGAGGTTAATATAATCAAATAATTCAGAAATACAAAAAATACGCAACCTTTTAATTATAAAAATTCACACTCATTGATGCTATATAGAATTAAAAGACTACCCCTATGAAATTTCAGTGAAATATACACCCTTACATTACACTTAGACATGACGTCACTGCGCAAACAGTTCCATCTTTACAGCAGATTCCGTCAGAACAACAGTAGGACCCGGATGGACAGTAAAGTGACACACTCCCATCTGCTCCACATGCTCCTTTAGCTGTAAAGGGAGTTTTAAAAAAACAGTTCCTTCTACCATGGAAATTTGTCAGCATCACTGCTACACAGAAGTTGATCTGATTTGAATAACAGTTTGTAAATGAGCATGTTATAAATTTTGTTTGAAATTGAGAACCGCAAGTGCTTGGTTCCAGAAATTAAATCAGTGTAATGCTCTTGTCTTGTATTTTGTAAAAATGTATTATTTCATTTTTTAATTCTTTATCACAGAAAAGTCAGTTTAATTTTAATCATCACTCTCCTGGTGCCGTCGTAACAAACAACCATTCGAGGGATTTAAGGATGCATACACCTGACGATGTGTAAATAATGTAAGAAAAACCTTAGTCAACACTTGACTTCATGTTAGGTCGTACAGGTCGTTAGGTTGCTTACAAGATCATTGTTTTGACCATAAAACTTGCAAAATGATATGATGATTTCAAACGAGACTTTTCATATCCTTGTTTCATTTATTTATTTTGTCGATAGCTTGTCTCGTTTTTGAATTGTTTATACGTAGAGAATGCTCTTGCATATCAAATCAACCGATAGACATAAACACCACTGAAATTTACAGGAGATAAGGGTTTACTGCGACAAAAAGAAGAAAGGTTGACGATTGAAAAGTTGAAGTCATCAGATTCATCATAAATCTTTATTGTTAACGTCCTTTTCTAGTAAAATATCCAAAAATGAAATATATGCTCCAGACTCTGTACGTGGAACATGTATTTTTCATTTCAAGCTCACTTAAGTATATGAAGTCACCATATGAATGAAGTTAACTGTTGTTAAAAGATAATGTGTCGTCAATTTATCAAAATGTCGAGTTAAAGGCCACAACAAGTGTTTTCATCCTCTTTGCGAAGAAATTTTAATAAATTCTGCTTCATATGAATAATAAAATAGATTATTTATAAAAGGGTAAAGAACATTTACGAGTTCCATTGAAGGAGTTTTTGTAATATTGCAATAGCAGTGTCTGTAGTGAAAAAAAAGTCTGGGTTTCAATTTATCGTGGAGAATGGTTGTATAAAGCGTTGAACAGTCACACTTTTTCATGTAATTGATTTTCTGAAGATTTTGTGATTTTCTAAAATTTTATTTGAATTTTTCAGTATCCACATCTGATTCACACCACTTTTCTAATATAATGTTGTGCAATACTCCTGAAGTTGTAAATATCTTAGTGAGGAATAATAGTAAAGACAGAAGCTTGGTAGAACATTTACTGCAGCCCACAATGTATCTTTATTTGTATGGAATTTTGTGGAGTTCCTCAGACCTGGAATCCAGTATAGATATGGTAAATCAAATTTTTATTTTTGAGAATATCTAATCTATATAAGTTTTGAAGAATTTCCTCCTTAGAAAGAAAGCTAGGTAGGTATAATTTCCACTTACAGAATAAAACCCTTGTTCCTCTAAAATACAGTTAAACAAAGACAATGTACTACCTGATTCTTCAGCAAGGACCAGAACGTACTGATCGTGTAATCTATCTACTAGTAAGTCTTGTTTCACTTCTGCATTGCCGAAGACCGAAGGATAGGTGATTTTCATATTTTGCCCCTCAGTCATATTCAACATCTATGTAATACTGTACATAAAATCCATTCTTACAAAGTGTCAAGGTCTTCTTTTTCATATTTGTCCCATCTTCTGATATAATCTTCTATAGAATTCATTTAACAGTTTGGAAGCAAGGTATACCTCCAAACGAAAGTTATTTTAAAAAAAAATCTTACCAGTTCTGAGGAGGAATGCATGGAGTAGAATAAATAGAATATACATCATTTTCCTCCCACTTTACAATATGCACTTCCGCGCGACAGAGTGAATTTTACACTTCTTGGCGACAAAGTATAAATAATTTAAATTATATTCACAGAATTCGTTTTAGCTGGGATTTATTTGAACGAGGTGATGATCTTTATTTCCATTTGAAAAAGACAACAAAAACATAAAAGCTAGGTATTGAGAGGACGGCTCTTTGTGCATGATACTAATGATTTCTAATGCATTTACTGCAATAGTTGGAAGCCTTTTAAAGTCTTTATTGAGGTGCACTTTACTTTTATACATAACCAAATCGAAAAAAGCACATAGAGATGTAAATTTCTAAAACTTACCTGTATTTAACTGCAATATATCGTAATATTGCATAATAATGTCAGTACTTGCAAGTATATAAAATGGAGGAAGTAAGAATAATCAGTTTAAAACGTTGACAGTTATTCACATTATAAGATTTTAACATGCATTCTCTGTAAGCACCAAAAAATCGAAACGACATGTCTCCGATTTTGATGAAATTTGCACCACAGGTGCACCTTGGTACAAAACCAGCAAATATGGTGTTAGAAGTTTCCCACGTGCACCCGGTTGCCATGGAGACGGATCCATTGAATTTGGCCATTTTCGGCCATTTTTGACCAAACAAAAGCATGAAAATTGAGGAAATATGAATGCATTTTTATCTTTATGTAGTGAACTCAAATATAAATCTTTGTATCATAAGAAAACATCAATTGTTAAAGAATACAGGGCATATAACCAGTTATTCCAGAATTGACCCCACTCTTAGAAAATGGTTCGGCAAAATAGCATAGTTTCTCAAAATGTGAAAAATGGAAAATTTGGCATTTTTTGAGAAATTTAAGGCTAAATAAAAAAAATTGTCTACGGAAATTTTTCAAATCATATGCGTGTCGTCAAACGTCAGTATTAGTAGTGTCCACTCATGAAAAAATTGGAGTGGGATCTCAATGCTATTTTTAGTAACATGTATCTAAAAATAGACATATTTC